CGCCACTGGTTGCCGTTTATTACATATTTATTTACATATGTGCTACACACCGTTTAACCAATTTAAAAGTAAAATTCGTGAGATATAAATACGTCTGGACTTATGTAGCAGTGCGATAGCAACATTTATTTGGCCTGTAATGCCGCACGTATTATTGTTCACTGGACTTTGTATTCTTTGCGTTATTATCCACTATCTTTTTATTATACTCTTTATGTAAGAGTTAAAACTTTTCACCGCTATCCATTTACTCTACATTGATAATGTTTCCTCTACTGATATTTTTTATTATATAACTCTTCTCGTTTATTCTGCTCTTTTTCTGGTTTCGCTTCCTGTACGGGTATTTTAAACAATGGACAACTTGCGTTTTAAATAAACATGCACGCATACCTATGTAGCATACAAGCTTTTGATACGGATTGCGTAGAAAAGGGTTCATTATTTGAAATACCCGTAACGATTGTGCAGCCGCATGTCATTGATAACGAGGAAACACGTCTTTATGAACCCATATCCCATACAACGGATGGTAGCTTTGAATTTCAACCGAGCACTATAAAACGAGACTTTATTTTGGTGCCACCACGAGCCACATGGGCAGGTGAGTATTGCGTTTAATTGTGAACAAGTATGTCTATGGAAGTATGGCGCGCAATAAACATAAATTGTTTGTTAATGCTTATTGATGTGAGAAAATATTTAAGTCATGCATATAAAATATTTAAAAACAAAGGCAAAAAGAAATACACATACGGGAAAGAACAACACACCGCCGCTTGATGATAGTTATTGCAAAGCCGATGGGTTACAAATTGGCAATTTGTCAAGAAAACCGTGCTAAACAGGAAATGAATGAAGAGCACTTCGTAAATAACAACGATAACAAGAGATAAGATACAAAAGAGAGGAGATGCAAAATTTCGCATATTCCGTTTTTCCAACTCTAGTTCATGCACAACCTTATAAATACTTACTAGCAGAATTGGTTATTATTTCAAATTCTCTACAATTTATCAACACTCTGTTCAAGATTCAATTCGGCAGGATTGCTCACAGATACTTCGCTTTAATGATGTGCACTCGTTTTCTTTCCTTTGCTGACTTTGTAAAAGTGATGACGATTATTTCAAGTTTGATGTCGATGACATCTTCACACTTTTTTCTTACTAAGGCTCAAAATATTATATATGCACAACGCTACTCCATGTAGATAAAGTTCTCTCCGTCGAAGGATATGTTATTCTTGAATAATATTTGGCGCACGGGTACACGCCTTGAATATCTTATAGCCCACGCATAATCCAGCTTGCTAGTGTTAAACTTCTTTGCCTGTTCATACGCTCGCCTACCCGGATATCTACAACCGGGAAAACTAACTACATACCGAAAAAGAGCAATTTGATTTATCCAAAGAGTTATCGCGTCCTGATCCCATTATCATTTCGCTGTCATACCGAATATTGGAATATGGAAATGAAAAGACTCGGTTTAAATCGATTCGAATGCCACTTCTGCATCTTTATACATATTTTTTTTATTAAAATTTGGCACTTCTACACTGGATTTATACAAACGCCTCCAATGCATTGCAATTCTGAATATAAATTTTATTTAGAGGATTTTGTTATTATTGATATTTTGTTGAGATATATCCTTTAAAACACCAAATACACATCCAGACATCCAGCCTTTCTGTATATCTATTATGAATATTTTCGGTTTTCTTAGTTCTCAAAATTTAAAAATTAGTAAGATTTAAAGTTTAACGAGTCTGGTTTGTAAAGAAGCTATCGGTACAGCCATAAGCACTTTCACACGCTGGCAAAATCATTAATTTCTTACACCATACGTGTAGCATACTTGTAACAATTTTTTATTTAAAAACTCTTTTGTCTGTTATTCAATTTTTTTTTATTCTTTCTTTTATTTCTCAAACATTTTCTGTTCATTCGTGTATGTTCCTACCTGCTTGTCTGCTTTGCTGTACTATGCTCTCTGCTTACTTTCGACCAAAAAAACGAACAGTCTTACGTATGCGTTCAACCGATAAAATTTGTGGCAAGGATGTTGGCAAATTCTTTGTGCACACTGTACAATTATTACCGAAGTCTTCGTGCCGTGTTCTGGAAACTATGAAGTTATTGACTGTCAATTCAGAAAATGAAACCACATTGGCATTCAAGTGTCAGGTAAGTGTACGAGCATATAATAACTACCATAGCATGTCTATTATAGAATAAGACTGAATTTTAAAACGAATTTTGAAAAAGCTTTGACATAAAAATTTAAGTTTAGTGAAAAGAAATTGAATTATCAATCATTCAAGCCAGCATAACACTAAATAAAGCAAGCAATTGGACAATGGCAATGACAATTCAACTTACAATATATGAAATTATTAATATTCGGAGCGATGAGCATATTACAAGACGTATGCTTAACGCCTCTCTACATTGCCTAACAATAGTGAACTTATAATTTACAATCAATCACAAAGGCCTTAGCAAATTTAATGTTCTGTACAATTTAAATTTAGTGAAAAATATATTTTAAGTAACATCATAAAAACATCTGCAAAAGTAAAAATCGCCGTCAACATCATCACGAAAAGAATTCATTGTATGGCTCACATGTAGTTTGTGAATTATAAGAACAAAAACATCATAAATGTGCTTGTCGTGCGCTTTGCTGTTATACCTTCGCGTATGCTTAAAACTTCTTCCTACTTATATATTTTATTTGCAAAACACTTAAATAAGAATTGAGTGCTTTCTCGCCATTAATTAGACAGCAAGAAATCCGTAATCTTGTACTCATTGTTACCGAATTAGTTTAAAAAGCAACCTAACAGATTATTATTCCAATAGTCAAATCTCCAGCCTATACATCCTCTAATAATATAATATATATATAATAATATAATCATACGCTCATTTTCATCACTAATGTACAGACTTAACTTTTAAGGGAATTATTATGTGAGAACAGGAAAAAATGAGCGTTGGGATGTCCTAAATCTAATTAAATTTAATTCTTTTCCGATATCACTTCTTTTTATTTACTTCATCATTTTTTTCATAAAGTAACAAATATTATATTTTTTTTTGCCATATAAAGGTTTAATTGTTACATAGCAAGGCCATAGACAAGCGAGAAAATAGACCTACGACTAATTTTCAGTATGCAATTTTAAAATGAATTTTTGTTGGCATATAACGACATACTTTTCCTGAGAATTTTTATGCGGCCCGGGGTTTAAAAAATAGACTTATCGCGGTTTAAACTTAATACGGAATAAGTTCTAGAATGAATTGTTAAAAAGTAGGCTTCTTATCCATATAAGACTTTACTTTCTCCTACTAGCGGTTACGTGGGAAAACCTTAAAAAAAGTTGATCCATCCGATCCAAATTTTTGGTAGGAACTGCTATTATTTAGCGATTTTTGTCAAGAAATTTTGAAAAGTATAGATTATTGACAAATGACGACTTTTGCAGAATGAGCCGTTATATGGGCTGAAGTCGCACAAGCAGCCCTATCCAGCTCATCTTTAATAGAGATTGTCCTTTAGTCAAATTACGCCAGTGTACCTAATTCCGTCAGTATATCTAAAAAATTGTGAACTGTAGCTTTTACACACAAACATCATATTAACGAACAAGAAGGCGGATGGACAAGCTTAAATCATCATCGACATATGTTAAGTCATTATGAACGGTGTACTTTACATTAGCGGAAAAACTACGTCGTATTTTAAATAAAACATTTGAATCAGTTTGAATAATTTTTATTTACATTTTAATCAATAATGTAATTTCAATTATTTGCATCCCTTGTTGCCATTTTTTGGGTAGCTTATCGATCCCCTTGGCGTAGAAGTGCATATCCTTGGGGCCAAAATATTCAGCAATTATCAAGGGGACAGCTTCGAAAGAAGTATATATTTTCCCATCAGATAATCTTGAAGCAATCGAAACAAACAGTAATACAGCGGAGCAATGTCAGGTGAATATGTTGGATCGCTATTAGTAGGTATAAATCACGGGGACAATTTTTAATAATCACCTACATCCATTAAAAGTACTCCACGTAACAGGTAGGCTTAGTTAATATCAAATAGCCGTTTACTGAAAAAGCGTTGGACAAATATTTATGGAACTAAATATAGATATTCCGATATTCTAAGTATGAATATGTTACTGTCATTCGCCATTCTAATCAATTGACATGAGATATGAATGCTGATCTTTTAAATGATCGATATTCTTAGCCTACTTTGTACTTCAGCGTTGAAATGAGTTTTGTAGTGTTGCAAAAGGAATGATGAAACAAGCATATTCATATTTTACCCCCTACTACTTGGAGTGCGCGGTTCCGATGTATTAGATTGGCGGGAAGGTTCTGTCGCATGTTACTTCCTGCAGGCCAAATCAAACAAGTAGAATGGCTTATAAGATATAAGACTATTTTCAATACTGTACAATCAGCTAGTTACGATGTGCAGAGCACTAAGATGGCGGTGGATAAAGTGCATTTAGGGTTCGTTTGGAAGTGAAGTTGTAAATGTTTGGATTTGATAAATTTTGTTCTTAAAAGAAGACCGTCTATATGGGTGGCCATTTAAGGTCGACGAAACCATCAAAGCGAACATGTATTGTGACCAGCGGCGAATAGCGATCAGAAAAGTAAATCTGGTAAAGGCTACCACTTGTTAGGTGGGGTACTTTTAATGGACATAGGTGACTATTAAAAATTGTCCTTGTGATTTATACCTACTTATAGCGATGAATAATCTCTTGTTAGTGAAATTGTTTTGAACTTAGGGACAAAAATGAAAGGGGAAATAGAACGTGTTAATACAAAATGCGAAACGGTTGGGAAAGGAAAAACAAAGGCAAAATATCAATATACGACAAAAAATATATGTATATATAGGTTGAATAACAGTAGACATAGTCGGAAATATTATATATGATAAGGGTATACGAAAACAAAAAAAACTTCAAAAATAATTATAACTTTATTTATTTTTTTGTACTTGCTTTAAATTCGATAATGATGATTTTAGTTTGTTTTTCGTTTTTTTCCCTTTATTATTGCGCTTTATATTTAACTGAATCCTATAAATCTGTTATTTTTAATAAAATAGGATAACAACAAAAACCTAAAAATTACTTTTTTAAAGACTTAAAAACTATTGTTCTGTTTTAATGTTGCATTTTTAATTCTTTTCCTTATTGCAGGAAAACAATGTGGTTGAATTGTGTATAGCAAAATATTGGTCAAACTTTGGAAGTATACACCTCAAGTACAGTTTGCAGTTTCACGGCATCCAGGCAACCAATCCGAATGCATGTAAGTAGATCGAGCACCTAAGGAAAACATTGAACAGTGAACTGCTTTAAAGCAGTAGCTTTCAGGAAGAAAACCATAATAATGTGAAAAGCTTTTTAAGACCAAAGTTTTTCAAGAACCAATGGAAAAAACACAAACGCAATAACTTAAGATATATATATTAAAAGAAACTGTAAAAGCAGCCTTTCATAATTGGGGCCGAGTCTTTTAAACCCACAAACATGTGGAAAATTCAGGGGAAATTCAATAAACCCAATATGTTCTGTAGGGCAAAAAAGAAGTACAAAACCCATTACTGCTGCGAAAAACAACTGATGCAATTACGCAAAGAAGGGGTAGTAGGAGTATGCGAAACACCTTTCCATTACGGAAAAGTTTGAGGCCATGTTGCAAAATCCATCCCAAAGTTTTAGTAGTAAAAGCGGGAGTCTGTTTCGCCGGACGTTGTTTAATCTTATTAATGCTCCAATCGACGGCGTATTCGTTTCTATTTTTACTCGCGTTGCATAATATTGCAAAAATTTTTCCTTTCGTAGCTCTTCTTTAAAGAGTGGTTATCCTTTCGATCGAAAGCGATGTTTGCCAATAGCGCAAAAGGTACACTATAAAAATTACATATATATTCCATGCATGTTGAAAAGTGTAATCCACGCTAATAAAATATTGCAGAGCAATGAAATTTCGTTCTTTTCACCTTTTTAAAAAAAAATTGGTGAACATAAAGATTCCGCCACAGCCGAGTATAATTTTCTTACTCATTGTTATTAAATACTATATATACATTTATTAAATTTTATATTAATATATATGTATGGTAAATATATACCAATGGTGTTCGAAAGTCGGGCAACGTGGGGTAAATTTCTGTTAATTTTTGTCTCAACTTACGCTAAATATGTACAAATTTTTATCAAAATGTATTAAAAATGAGAAATTTTTCGCATATTTTTATATGGCGTGGCCCCCAAAAAAATAGATCCATATATGGCCCAAATTTCACGATGAGGATTAGACCTTTCTGCCCAGAAAACAGATTTATCTGAACAAAATTTCACATCAATTTAGGGTATCGAAACACTATCTTCTAGCGATTGTTGCTGAGAAACTTGAAAAATCGAAATTTGTCCATGTACCTTTTTCGAAATAAGCTGTTATATGATGAGAGTGTTCGTAAAAGTGTGCTGACCCAACATATCGCCAATAGGGCTCGCCCTTGGGCAAAAACCCGATAGTGTGCCAAAATCCACCAAAAAATTTGGAAAACTGCCACCTGTACGTTGAGTAGAAGTCTACATGGAGAGACATCAGAGGAACAGAGAGACAGACACGCTTCGAATCAAAAAATGATTCAGAACATGGATTTCGATCGATCTGTATAATAAAACATGTGCCTATGTGAACTCATTCTTGGGTGTTACTTATATCTGCGCGAACATTAAATTGTTTTAAGTTCTTAAGTGTTTTAATCTTCAAGTTTTCGGCAAACTTGCAAATTTTTAAAGTAATTCTATTTAATCTTGTGAAAAAGTTTTTTCAGAATATTTTACAAAGTTAAACAAAGATTAAAGATGGAAGTTTACAAAGATTAAAGAAGGAAGTTCCACACTTCTTATATGTATGTTACCGTGTTAGGCTGTTGGAAATTGGGTTTTTGGCGGTCTGGTTCAAGGCTTCAATTTGGTTCGGCCATATTTTTGCAAGTATTGAATTTGCAAACTGGCAAAAACTATGAAAAATAAGTTTAATTAAATTCTAGCTATATTGATATGTTTTCAACTTCTATTACGTTTCCGTGCCTCTTACATTTTCAAATCATAATGAAGTCTTTACATGAACCGTTAAATTGAGGAGATATGGCAACGTTTCAGTCTATCAGTTCGCACAGAAGTTGAGACTTGACTTATGTGTTCTAGGTTGCGCTTACGGATAACAATTTATGCGATCCGCACCCGACATTTAAAAAAAAAAGTTCTGTTAACAACGTGAAATCTGTAGGAAATGTCGATCTGAAATTTATTTTTCACATATAACAAGAAGATGTAATGCTTGTCGATTCCTGATATCTAAGACTTTTTTTCAAGCATATACATTTTTATTATTGAATGCTTTTTCTTTGTTACTTGAGGTTCTTCAAGGTGAACAGTGGACTGAACACTTTTGTGTTGAAATGTTTACCTTGATAAATCCTCGCGTATATGCATATACACCTATACACACACATGCAAGTTTTAAGCTGACGCCGTTCATGTTGATCGTGGCTGTTTTCTGTTTCGGCACACACACCTTCGTTACACTACTTCCTTAATGTCTTATCACTCACCAACAATTTTTGATTTCAAGTAAGAAAGCTATGAAAACTTGTTTTTTAGACTCTGGTATATTTTAGTTTTTCTTTCACCTGGAATTTTACGTTAAGGCTAATGAATTTTTGAAGTTTTTAAATAAACTTTATATTTAATTTTAGTTTTTGCTTGAAAAATATTTAGGTGGTATATGAAATTTCGATTGCTTTCTTATATATCTTCAAATTTGTTAATTGTTTTATTCTATTAGAAAGTCAGAAAGCTAAAAGGATACAAATATACAAAGAGAAAGAGAGAGATAGAGAGAAAACGGGATAATGTTAAATGCAAAGTTCGTACAAAGGCGTGTCAGTAGTATTTAGTATTTATAGAGTGAAAAATGTGAGACTGTTGGTTACCGAAATATAACATTTAATTAAAGACGTCTGCTTTTTTCTGTGCAATCTGAGCAATCTGAACAATTTTCATAAAAGTTTTGTAAATATTTTCTTTATAAAAAATTTCTTTATCAATTAATTTTTTGTTTCTTTTCTAACTCAACTTTTTTAGTTTCTTTTCACAAAAAAATTTGCTCGAGTATATTAAATCTATTAAACGCTTGCAGTATAGTTAAATGCAATCTTGTTCATCGTGAAAGACGGGGTTGAATTAACGTTGTGTATCTGTCTCTAAAAATGACGAATAGGCACCAAAAGTTGTTTCTATACCATTAAGCTTGCTCTTAATCTTTGCCGAATCATAACTTAGTTCCAAAAATTTTAATACTAAAAGATTCGCTTCGTTGTATTGCATGCTTAGCAGTAGAACTACAGACGAGTTGTATGTATCAGTTTCTATTAAAGTGGTTATTTGGTGGCATTTTCGTAGACTAGTGTATTCGCAATAGCTAAGAACTTCAAAACTTTGTAATTGTCAAGACGAAGTTAAATAATGGCAATTCGATCACAACAGTTGAAAAACTCAAGCAACGTAGTAAAAACAAAATTTGGCTAATTTTTTGCCAATGAATTACGGACATTTATAGATGTTCCCAAAAAAATTTGAATACGTAGGTTTATTATGGTCATCCAACAATCGAGCTTACATATGCTTTTGATCGGTCTAATAATGCTTCCGCAATTGATCGGAAAAAAGTCTCGATTTTTATACACTTCTTCATTTATCAAGTTATTTAAGTATTCGTGGAAAATTTTATCTCTCTTTTTTAGTTTTTTCGGCGATCTAATTTTGTAGAAGTATATAGAAAGTGCAGGTGACAATTATCTGGAAAAGTAGACCAGGTAAAATAAATAGAAGAATAACAAATAAGGAAGATGTGATCGGCTGAGGCCGTATTTCGCATAAGCTCCACTAAAATCTTTTTCGCCCCATGCTTTTGTTTGTTATCATAAAAAATGAATCATAAAATTTATCTTTCACGTTTTGTTTCACTAAAAGGTATTAAGAAAAATTAATCTCATGACGTCGTGATGTCATACTTACCTTTTCGCATTCTACTCTCGAAATCGTTTAATTTGATATCGATGCCGCTGGTATTATTAAGGAGTGATTAATCTACCAGATTCTAGTGTCCGCCCTATTTATTTTAGATTTAACGCATTTTTAGTTAAGTAATATATTGAGGAATGTACAGAATACTTTTAAACATTCTGCCTTGCTTATTTTATGAAGACATTTTAAGCGCTTGTAAGTTTGTGTAAGCTAAGCCGATTTTTCCCATTTTTGCAAATAAATAGTAGAGTTTTCTGCAAAGTAAATGTGAACAATTTCAACTTTTTATCTTTTATAATATCTGATTAATAAGTAAACAATCACAAATTTCTGTTTAGAAAAACCGAGTTACGTTCAGTTTACGCTTTACTAGCGGCTTGTGCTGTGACCAATTTCCCATACAAACCTACGTGTAAAAACCTCTAATGTTTCTACCAAATTTGAAGTTGATAGCTTCCTTTTTGCCACCAGGGGAGCGCCAACAGCACATACGGCACAGATACACTTGCGGACACACATGGTTTATTTACATAAGATTTTCATACTGATTAAGAATATATGCTCTATAGGGCTTCACTCGTGGGTGTAAAAATAAATAATTAAAAGGACGTTTTAATGTATGAAAGCTGAAGTGCGATATTTGAGAATATGCATTAGTTCTCTTCTTCCTTTCCATTATGTCAGTGTACGTGTTATGTTTTGTAAGCACATGTTGCATACACTAAAGCTAAAGTTGCAGTAAATTGCATTTCACGTTAAAAATAGTTGCGGTAAACATAATAAATTTTTCATGTTCACTCTCAATTATTAGTTTGCAAGCTTTATTTTGTAATTTGATTCTCGACAGGAGCGCAGTTGGCTGTTCGCTGTTGTTTATAGCTAAACGATTGATTATTAATTATCAGAATTGCTTATTATAAATGAACTTACGCTGCTTTATAAGAATGTTCTAAAGTTACTTAAAATTAATTTGTTAGTTGAACTAGATTATTGACTAAACTAGATTACGACTAAAGCTACAACAGAATGAAGTTAACTATATTAATAACTTGCATTAGAGTAGGTCAAGCTTTGCAAGGTGATGATTAATAAAATAAGCACTATAGGCTGAAGTAGGTTATTAATTAAACCACGTTATTTAACTTAACTAGAGTAAAGGTTTATATTACCATAAATAAAATAAGCTAAAGTGAAACAAAACAATAA